CCCTAAAGCAGCAAACTGCCATTTGTAGATCTACATAAGTCATGCAACAGTGTAAAATACACACTACAAAGACTACACTCAAAGCACACAACACCTGCATGCACCATCACTATAAAGAAAACTGCCATTCTCAACAGAGGCTAAACGTGATCCAAGGCATCCATCCAAACAAAGCACACGGGAGCACTTAGGACCCAGGGGAAATATCCAGGGAACCAAGTTCTGAACGAGTGGATTTAACTTAGTAAGCGCTTACTGCAATTTATGCTTATTTGAAGTTTCACCCATAACATCTGTCATAAGGGAATGCTGTACTAACAAGGGTTAGGGTCTTCATGCCTGCAAACAGACTAGTGTCTAGGAGGCGCTAGAGTGCTCTAATCTCACAGAGAATGATGTGGGAGAGATTTAGGATGAATTGCAGAATACTCTGCTTTAGGGATCATGTTAAGCTCTATCTGAAAACAAACTCTCTTGCTCATTTTATCTCTCTAGGGGTTTATGCACTCTCACGGTAAACATGTCTGCCTCCGAGCCTACTTTTAGAGTACACAAATGTGCTGCTGAAGTTTATCTAGTTTGGGTTTGTGGAGGCATGTTCATCAAAATCTGACAAACAGCACTGTGTTTGGTTTTCTCGGTTCTTTGTCCAGGCTGTATTTCCAGTCTTGTTCCTGAAAGTGCTCCAGGTGTGCCTGTCTCACCTCTCTCGCAGGTGTCTCACCCACCTGGAGCACCAGCCGCTGCAGAGATGGGTGACATGACACAAAGTCCTGCAGGAGACCCCATTAAATTAGATAAACACTCACTAAGCCCATCAGTTCAGATACATACACAATCATATAGGATTGCAGCAGTTGGACAACAGTGTTTCTGGGAGAAGACCGTGAATGAATATTAGCATGTGAATTTGAGACAACTCTTCTTTTTTAAAAACACTTTATTCTGCCACAAACACTCACACAACCTTTCTGCCATGGGTGTTTCATTATGACCTGCTGCACAGTGTATGAGAGTGTGTGTGAGAGAGATTTCCCCTCTAAAATCAAACCATCATTTACTGTACATATCCCTCTAAATGAAGGCTCTGACTGGTTTGGAAATCTTTTTTTTTTTCATCTGATTGTGAAGTTATATTTGTACAAACACTGTTTCTTGACGGGAATGTATGAACTAAAACAAGGCCAGAATGGGGTGGCATGAATGAATAAGACAATCTCTACCAGGGGCTCGCAACAGTAGGGGAAAAAACAATGGTAAATGCATATAGTTATGTTCACCTAACCAAACAATGAGCATAGCCACAACAGTAAATTATTAGAATAACTTTTAAAAAAGGAGGAGAAAACCCTGCACCTTATTTTTAGTTGCTGACGTCAAAGACTGTGTGTCTGATTAAACTACAGTATTTAATTTGTCACTTCACAGAAACAAGCTTACACGAGGCAGATGCTTGCATGGATTCAAAATACATTATTACAGAAAGCTGAATGTGGGTTTATTTGCAAAAGGACAAACATTTTTTGCGCACATCCCAATTTATTTTTTCTGTTAATTATTGTCTAGAGAGCTTGGCATCATTGGGATTTAAGACAGTTTTCTTATTTCATATGTCATTTTAATAATTATGCATATTGTTGGGCTATAGTATTAGCAACATATTTTAATGTTTGATTTTTGGGCAGCATTTTACAATAAGGTTCAATTTATTAACATTGGTTAATGGTATCATGTACTAGCAATGAACAATATAAAAATAATATCATTTATAAAGCTAGATTCATGATAATTAGTTATCATTAACCTAGTAAATATACAGCAGTATGAATGAACGATTTATGTATAATTTAAAGGGATAATTAACCCAAAATAAAAATTCTGTCATCATTTACTCAACTCGGTGTTGTCCTAAACCTGTATGACTTTCTTTCCACTGTGGAATACTGTCACAAATCAAGCCTCTGTGGCTCCCTCCGATCACCACCAGAGGGAACCGTCACCGGAGTGTACAAATACATAAGAAGATATTTTGAGATGGTTTTTTTTGTCCATAAAATGGAAGTCAACGGTCACCAAAACTGTTTGGTTACCAACTTTTTTCAAAATATCTTCTATGTTCCACAAAAGAAATTCATACAGGTTTGGAATGACATGAGGGTGAATAAATGATGATAGAATTTGTTCATTGATTTCATAATACCCATTTCATTAACTGTTGTTAATAAAGGTGTTGCCGATTTTTCTTTGATACAATTTTGATACGGTGCTGTTGTACAATCTGCGTCCTAAAGGACAATTCAGTTGAGCACTACTGTTCGGTACTGTAGTGCAGTATAACTTCTCCATTATATTCTGACTGTGACTGACTGTTCCCATCATTAATCAAACTCTAACACCTCTCTCCTCCTCTCTCTTTTCCGGTCCTCTTCATTTTTCACTTTTACCCCACTCCATCGGTTAACCCCACCCTCTCATTTTTTACCTCCTGTAGTCTCTCGATGTGAGCTCTGCAGGTTTCCAAATCACTGTCTCCCGGGACAACGATGAGACCCAGTGGAATTGCTGCGGTAAGGAAAGAGATAAAAAGAGAAGTTAGAACGAGGGATGATGAGAAGAAACAGAATATTTCTTTCACTCTCACAGTAACAGCCTACTGTGTGATGTCAAAAACCTGGCCCGCATTTTTTCCTCTCAGGAGATACTGATCAGCAGTGGGAGAAAGAGTAAAAATAAAAGACGACTGCGAAAGAAAGAAAGAAAGAACGAAAGAAAGAAACTATTTTCAATCATGTATGGTATAAGCTAATTCATCTCTATCTTTGTGAATACATGTGTAAGCAGAAGAGTTGATTAGATAGATATAAAGAAATAGTCTGATGATAGAAAGAAAGAAAGAAAGAAAGAAAGAAAGAAAGAACGAAAGAAAGAAACTATTTTCAATCATGTATGGTATAAGCGAATTCATCTCTATCTTTGTGAATACATGTGTAAGCAGAAGAGTTGATGAATATAATTTATGGCAGTTGTATGCAACATGCACTGGCTCAGACCCAATCAAACTCATTCAAACTAATCCACAGATTCCTCATGAAACAAGGTCAGACAGTAATAGGACGTGATGGGGAGGATGTGGCAATTTTACTTGCACTAGAGTCTAAACCACTGCAGGCATTTTGTAGACACATGGCTGTAGGCCTGCTCTAAAATGTGCTGTCAGTGAGAGAATATGATGAAATATGATGTTTGTGCAGTGACTGCTGAGGCTGATGTTGATCTTGATGTTGACTGCTGATGTGTCCTCTCATGCATATGGATATTCTCAAGTCCAAGTCACTATAGAGGAAAAGGGTAAAAAGCATAGATCCCACCCACACTGAGATCCTAACTGTAGCGTTTTTACACTCAACCACCCTTAGCATTATGAAGATACAGTAGTGTACATTTGAAAGCTGGAGGAGCAGTAGTCATGCCCTACCCTGAGCTGAGCCTCACAGGCTTCAGAGAGGCAGGGTAATGTTTCTAAATTAAATGAGCATTCTCAAGAGGACAGCAAGCTTCTCTGACAAAGTGGGAAGCGAGAGAGTGAAGCAGCGAGAAAGCGACAGGGGAAACAGGAAGAAACGAGCAGAGAGAGAGTAGCGAGAGATGGGAGAGGTCTCTTCTATTGAGGAATGTTGGGTTGCTTAGCAACATCTGAACAGTCGTTCCCAAATTCAATTCAGGTTTGTTCTCCGCTCTCTCTCTTTCTGTTCAGTTGGTGGTATTGTCAAGGCTCTTCTGAAGAGTGAAGAGGTACTGACAGCAGAAAGCAGATGAGATACAGGGAAGTGTGGTATATTTTTGTATCACAAAGGAGAGAGTACAGAACAGCTGTATGAACAGCAAAGAGCTAATCGCGTTCTCACAGTTGACATGCACTTTAAAAGTTAGCAATAATTTGTCTTTTTATGATGTTAAATGATGTTATGATATTTTCTTTATGAGATGTCAGACTAACAGGCCTAAAAGGCATAAAGCTGCATCTGAATGTATTCTCAAAAGATCCAATTAATTCTATCAGTTCACACCATTATCACTCACTGTAGAGATGGGACGACACCTAGTGCTGAGAAATACAACTGCAGCTTGAATGTACTCTTACAAAACACAAATGAAATATTTTTAATAAAATCTGAAAGATTTCTGTTCATTTTTGTGCGAGTTAACCTAACCTTTCTGGGTACAATTCAAGTGAGCATACTATCTCAACAGCTGTTTATGAGCACTGCTTATTTAAAGCACAGATTTAAACAAAGCTTTTAAAAATGCATGTTATACACTACAGTCACAGTATCCCAGAAACCAATATTTTAACGATTCAGAAAAGATGAATCTCTGTCTGGCCAACGGAGATTTCTGTATGGAGATAAAGGTTAAGATCATGATATTTCAGTATTATTACAGCACACAGTGAGCATATACTAGCACCGTATGTTGTTTGCTTTTGGGATGTGATAGAGCACTTGGAAACCTGCAAACCGTCATCAGACTTAACAAGTGGATTGAGGACGACACGTTTCCCCCTCCCCCTAATAATTAGAAATGGCCATTATTTGATATTCTTGATGCTGCCCTGTTGCATTCCATTACACACAGCTGTGTTTGTTGTTAGGATGACAAAAACATGTATAACTCCATTTTAACATAATTCTATGAGTATAGAAAAGTCCACACCACAACTATAACGATAAAAACACAGAGGAATGATATCTTTGGAATGTGGAATGTCTTTCTGAATGTTTTTTGTCCAGCTGATAAACAATAAAAACATTAACAGCCAATCAGAATCCACCTGATTTGAAAGAGATTATGCATTTAAAGCGGCAGAAGACATAACTGCAGCTTGTGCTTATAATAAACAGAACAGTATTGGTGTGGACGCTAATATCTTTATCGTAATAGTTATCTTTACAGTTGTGAATGGGCCATTAGACCTACAATTTCTTTTTTGTCCAGCTGATAAACAATAAAAACATTAACAGCCAATCAGAATCCACCTGATTTGAAAGAGATTATGCATTTAAAGCGGCAGAAGACATAACTGCAGCTTGTGCTTATAATAAACAGAACAGTATTGGTGTGGACGCTACTATCTTTATCGTAATAGTTATCTTTACAGTTAACATTCTTGGTGTGAATGGGCCATTAGACCTACAATTTCTTTTATGTTCTTATTTCTTTTTCTTTATAATTCCTTTAATTAAAATGAACAAGACAACCCTTCCCCCCTCCAATGTTCAGGACATGGTTATGGCTTTGAACTAACTCTTTAAATCACAGCACATCAGGAGTCACAAGCGTATTTTCTGGACTGTAATGCGTGCGTTTCATACTTACAAGCTTCTTTGAGTTTCTCCTTGTCGTAGTGCAGAGCTTCATAATCACCAGCAGGACTAAGCAAGCGTCTGTCCTTAGCAGCCATTTATGAGGGTAATATATTCACTTCAAGTGTCAAGGTAAAGAAATGACACAGCGAATAAATCACACTAAATTTTCACACTTTCAGTAACAGCTCAATAGAAAGAGACATCAATCCAGCAGTTTAACTTTCTGCTCACTGACTAATTTTTAAACATCAGCTCATACCTAATACTCAAATGTGTGCGCGTGTGTGTGTGTGCGCGTGCGCACATTTTGGTCCTGCGCCCTTTTAAAGAGCAGTCATGCTCTTTAAAACTCATTCAGAAATTGCAGACCTTCTCCTTGGTATTACATACATACCTGGGGTTTTGCTATATACCGGTATTGGTGAAAAACAATGAAATATTAATATCATTAATACTTAATACTTCACAAGATAATATTGTAAATAATCCAGCACCAGTTGCTGGTTGAATTCAGCGGCAATAACATATTACTACTGCTACACAAAATGTTATATCGTTGGAGATGACAGACAAAAGTGAGACACTACCTGTGCCCGAGAAAAGTTAGCTCATCATTGTAGGAGTTTTGGATTACATGGAAAAGGCGTTGTGTTAGACACCCTAAGTAAGTTATTTTTGTTCAATTATAGTTACAAACTCTCTCTCTCTGCCTTTTAACACTCTTATTTTAAGTGGGATTAATTGGCCAAAAAGAGAAAACACAAAAGAGACAACGTTAAAGATGAATTTGACTTGACAGCATTTTAAAAATTTTCTGCAGATATCGCAAAAATATCATTATTCTTTTGGGCACGGTAACCGTGTAGTGAATATACGATATCGAGACAGCCATAATATTCACACAGCAACATGTTGCACTCACTCATTGAGCTGTGGTATTGATGTGCGTCTCTTGGTTTTCTGCACCATGTTGGCCTGGTTTCTCAGGGAGATGTGAATAACAGATGGAGCTAGTTTGCAAGGCTCGCCATCCACCTGCATGGGGATTGGCTTAAAGGTGGTGAGGGTGACTTCACGACACTGATTTAACCTCTCACCGTGACCTCCGACCTGCAGCGTGGCCTACAGTCATAACAAACAATACAGGGACTGTAATTCACCAATCGTACTATAAAAACTCACTTCAAACTAATTCAGGTAGGTGAAACATACCAGTGATGTCATCGTGAACCCAATGACCTCAATGCATCCATCATCATGACGCTGAGGCTCAAAGTCATGATGCTCACTTGGATTGCCCCATGGCATAGTGCCCGCACAGTACCTGCGATTAATATGAACATCCAAACATGCAGACTCTTCACACAGACTTATCTAGAACTGAAAATTCAGCTTTGTCATCACAGGAATACATTTAAAAATACATCAAAATAGAAAACAGTTATTTTAAATAAAAATATTTCACAGTATTACAGCTTTACTGTATTTTTGATCAAGTAAATGCAGCCTTGCTGAGCATAAGAGACTTCTTTCAAAAACCTGAAAAAAATCTTGCAGACTCCAAACTTTTGAACGGTAGCGTAAGAAAGAACAAATCACAGAAAAAGATTTTGTGTTACCTGGGGATATTGAGGAAGACCAGGCATTGCAGCTTCAAATCCTGGACTTTAGAGGTCAAATCTGTGCCGTCACACTATTGAGAATGAGAGAGAGAAGAAAGTGGTAAAAACTGAATAAGTCAGCAAAACAAACCAACAGCCAGCAGAACAAAAGGTTGCAACTCAAATTTAGGCACACTACCTCTCAGTGCTAAAGCGCAAGAGGAAGAAATGCAAACAAACACGCATGCAAAAACAGAGACTTAGAGTCAAACCTAAAAAAAAAAAACAGCATTTTCATTTGCATTTCAAAACACACATATTTCCCCTCTTGTTCTGCACAAAGGGGTCTTTGTTTAGTTTAACTCCATACGTACCACCACTCTAATGTGTTTAGCCAGGTCTTTGGAGCTGCCCATCAAGAAATCAGAAAACGCTGTCTGTAGAAAAGGAAACATAATTTGCATTTCTGTCACCACCAACTCACTGTCACATTATTAATGTTGTGGTTTACAAAGAGGTTTGCAATTATTAAAGTTGTGATGTAACGGAAGTAGCGACAGATACTTTTCTCTGTATTGTGATACAGAGAAACAGGTTATTGAAAAGAAAAAAAAAATGTTGGGCAGGGACTTGTTTCTATGCATTGTTTATTGATTGGATAAAGGCAGATCTGAATGTTGGCTCAAAGTCGATTGTAAGAAAGGGGTGGAGATTAAGTGGACTAAATGATTGGAGAAGCCCAGCATACTGGAAGAGCCAGTTATGACATTATGATTGAGAATTACATTTACATTTAGTCATTTAGCAGACGCTTTTATCCAAAGCGACTTACAAATGAGGACAATAAAAGCAGTCAAAACTAACAAAAGAGCAACAATATATAAGTGCAAATGACAAGTCTCGGTTAGCAATTACAATGTCAAAACGTATTAAAAAATGAAACATGTATGGATGAATCATTCACAATAAGATCAACAGCACGCATTTAGAAAATAGACAGGATGAAGTGAGTACTTTGTAAGAACTTGGCTGTTTGAGTGTGAGAGTTTATGTGTGTTTCACTTACCCCTGCATAGAACATTTTGTTTCTGAATCGGCTGTTAAATTTCTCAGGGTTGGCCTCTGAAGAGTAAGAGGACAAACCATCATTAATCTCAATTAGCACCAATAAGTATGACCTCGCAGAAGAAACTCAAGGCTTTACTCTCACACAGCCACTATCTTGCTATTAAACAGTCACATTTATATGACAGACTAGTGCCTTTACACCAACCTCGGGATTCATGGAACTCTAAAGTCACATGAGCATCAAACCCAAGGCTGAAGTAATTATTGAAGATGTCCAAAGGGAGCTGTGGAGCAAAGAAACATCAGTCATTCTTCAGCTGCTTACATACTGATGCAAACAGAAAGAGCACTGCAGGTGGTGCTCTTACTGTACCTTGTCTGTCACCTGCTCGTCTCTTTCCTCTGACCCCGCCTCTGGGTTGGGCTTCACAATAAGATTCCATCGATCCAGCTGCACAATATTCCCATCCTCAACGTGAGACAGGATTTTACTCAGAGGTTCATCTGTGTAACCCTACAGGCATACAATTGTACAAAAAAAATGCCCATTCGGTAAACCATTCTATAAATGGATGAGCAGATTATGCTGCATGAACTACAATGAAATGTACAATGCAGGAATATAAGAAAGTTCTTCTGACTGATGTTTGAAATGAATGCATCTGACTGCGCAGATTTCACTCACCCCACCCCAGTTTAGCGTCCTAGCGAGGTCATTTCCCGTGCCCAGAGGAAGTACTGCCACAGCAGGAGAAGGGTTTAGCTGCAGCTGATCAAGAGCGGACAAAATCCAGCCCACCTGAGTCAAAGAATCATTTAACATGATTTTGTGTGTGTGTGCGTGTGTGTGTGAGAGAGAGAGAGAGAGAGAGAGAGAGAGAGAGAGAGAGAGAGAGAGAGAAAGAGAGGGAAATGCATTGAATGTTCAAAAAACATTTAAACAAAATCCATAAAAATCACATACACACATGGCTAAAACCGTCTAATACCTAAATGACAAACAAGTTACAGTTAGATATCTTGTTTTGTAAAATCACATCAAACCTAGAGAACCTCACAGAAAAACAGCAGAATATGAATTAGGGGATATTACGCATTTTTATGATTATCAGTATCGCACTCACCGTGCCATCCCCACCACAGGCCAAAATTCTCAAGTTGTGAACTTTGCGATACATCTCCAAGCTAAAAAAAAAATAAAAAATAAATAAAATATATATATATATATATATATATATATATACATAAAAATATCAATCATCTTATTGAAACACATCATACCAATGGGACAGATAAGTATTGTTATTCTGAAGCAGGACTACCCAAACAGGGTTTCGCAAAAGACTGCTTTTTTATGAGTTGATGAAAAGCTAATAAATGCTGTTAAAGGGGTTCGGATGACAAAAACAGGGAACTACTGTTGTGAAGTATTCCACATGCAGGTACTGACCCTTCCTGAGGACCCCCCTGACTGAGATCAAAGACCTGCCGAGGGTTCAGATACCACAGAAAGGACTGGATGATTTTAGCTCCCTGAGAGAGAAGGAGACAGCAGGAGGGAAATAGTTGATTTAGGTGATTATACTTTTTATGGTTTATTTAATTATTATTAATATAATTAGTACTAAATAATTACTTAATAGCTTTGCTATAGCATGTAATTATTATACCTGGTTTCCTCCACTCTTTGGGTTTACAAACACCAGCAGTGGCTTCATGAGTTGAGAGGGAATTGGTCTCACAATGAAGGGCTTCCATCGAGCCTCCTGGAAAAGAAGAAAAAGAGAGAGACTAGGGGTGAAGACGTAAAAATCCCAAAAAGTGTTGCTTATTTAATTCAATGATTCTCTGGCAAACAAAAACAATTACTTGGTTGTATACGTACCTCTGCTCCTTTCTTGCTGGATTTGCGTTTGAAAGACGTTCGTTTCTTCTTTTTGCTTGACTTTAGTGAGGACTACGGTTAAAAAGTAGCGCAATAATATTACAAATGCACTCCACAACAAAATCAAACACATTCATTAAAAACACAATGGAAAACTATAGTACCTATGGATGAAAAGATTTACATTTAAAAATTAAAATTAATTAAAAGCATTTAAAATTAAAAGCATTTAAAATTCACGGAAAACACAGAACAGCTGCCATTTTTTTCTTTAAACTTTTTACTTATTCTAATTTAGTGTTGAACAAAGAATGCTGTATTAGGGCTGGGCGATGTCAAAAATATCTTATATTATACAGTCTGTTTAAATAAATATTCAGAAACACATGCAGTGCTACTTTTAGTTTTTTTCTGTTTAACTTTTATTAAACTGCAGCTCAAAATAGAATAGGCCTATACCCTAAATAAGGATAAATTATATTGGAACGCATCTCCAAAATAATCGCACACAGATGCATGTTGCCATTACAGTAGTCAGCGCCGAACAACAGGCAAATAAAATATAAACTGATGTTACAAAAGTGATTCAGTCAAGATCACTGAGGGATTTTCTTTTCTTTTGTTCTTTGATTAACATTAATGACTGGCGGCAGCGGCTACGGTCAATGCACTGATCCAATACACCCTTGTTTTCTTTCGCAACTCTTTACGTTCACTTAAGACATAACCGATTGTAATTATGGTAGGGATGCACCGAAATGAAAATTCTTGGTCGAAGCCGAAACCGAACAAAATGAAACACTGGGCCAAAGGCC